GTGGTACTTGCATGCAGATGATCTAAAGACCTCTTAATTTGCAGGACATGGATCTTCAGTGAAGGAAGCATATTTAAAATTACTTTTGATAATAGAAAAACTAGAAAATAGAAGTTCCACTGTGAAATTTGCCAGATCTTCCTTTGTTTGGACATGAGTATGTCAGAATGTTTAACTTAGTGTTATGCTGTTGGACACTGTGGCAATTTTCTAAATTCTTAAAAACTAAAACCATAGCACTGTTCATCAGGGATTTTTTTTCCACATGAACTGGTTATAATTCAAGGTCAAGATAGCCCAGTCCTGTGGAACAAAGCTCTCTCTGAGGACCTGGTAGCTGAAGTTCGTGCCCTGGATCTCCTGTTGCCAGCATGCTGTGCTCTGCCTCTTTGAACTCCTACCTTATGTGTGTCTAGACTAACTTTCAGCTGCATTTCTGTTGAATGGTGAAAGCAGCTAGGGGAATAGTGCAAGAAATAAGCTATTTCAGGTAAAACAAACTAATTTAGTCACACTTCAAAGTCATTGTTTGTGTATTAACTTGTTGACAATTCTCAAGTGCAGAACTCCTTATTTGGTGTCATTTTTGGTACTCAGTTTGTGATGGTGATGCTGTAAAAATTGTTATCCCAAGAAAGTGAGCATGTTACTGAATCTGGGTAGCTTGTTGAGAGCCAAATTTGCTTTTCAGTACAAGGAAAAGTCTAATCTTGTCTGCCAGCACTCTAAATACAGCTTTTGGCTGTTCAGGAGTTCGCTCTGATAACTTTCTTTGAGGCTTAACCAATAACAAAAAAGCCATGTTTTTGTAAATGAGAAAGTTTGGAGTCTTTTGGTGAGGCCCTCTTTCACTGTGAGGAAAGCTGTCTTTCATATGTCTCAATTCAACACTGTCACTTAGTACAGTTGGGAGCATACAGGGAACTTTGTATGGCTACTTAAACTTTAACTTGTGAGGTGAGTGTCTGAGCTTAGAATCACAGAGTGCTTGAGGTGAGAGGACCCCTGGAAATTGTAGTCCAACTCTGCTGTCAAATAGGGGTAGCTTCTTTACCTCAGTGTACTTTAGCTCTTTCTTGTACTAGATCCTAATCCTGCAAACAGTGTGCAGAATCAGAAGTATGATTCTTGGCTATAAACACTCTTAACATTGCTTTAATACTAAATAGCATGAGGCCTTTGGTGAATCTCTACGTTACAAACCAGCTGTTTCTCATAGCTTGTGGTTCTGATGTTTTGGTGAGGGGCTTAACTGATCTAAAATAATTTGTTCTTAAAAATGGAACACATGTTAGAGCAATCAAGCACTTGACCGAGCTAGAGGTAGTAACTAGCTGGCTGATCTACTTAAGTGAAAAGTGATGAAGTTTTGGCATGAGTTCTCTTGTGACTTCTGACAGTTGACAAGCATCCCAAGTGACTCATCTTTCAAAACACTACAGAACTCACAACACTTTTATTTACTCAATCATGCAGAAGCTATGACTGTTGGTGAGCAGACATTAAGGAGGCAGATAGATGCAGAAAAATGTCATCTTTGCAGGCACAGTGATGTAAGAGTATTAAACCATAATTCATTGCTTTTCAAGTGATAATAAATGCCATATGAATTTGTCAGGGCATCAAGTCTGGTTTCTCTTAATGATGAGAGAAAGCCATAAAATCTCTTTATTTTTGTCAAGCTTTAATCCCATCTATTTTTAGAACAAACCTCATTAAATAGTGTGAAGTAAGAGCCTTGAAGAAATGAATGGGCTTTTTATAAGGGAGTTTATAACTCAAGTCTGACTCATTGAACTTGTAAAGTACAGTGGGAAGCAGTATTAAACACTTGCTTCAATTCTGAGATACTTTCTGCAAGGTGTATTAGACAATGTTTAAATTCAACAAGCATCTAAGTAGTTGAGTTGTCATCTTGAAGATGCTTAAGAAACAGGTAGTTGTGTCTTTGGAACATGGTTTAGCAGCAGACTGGGCAGTGCTGGGTTCATGGTTGGACTTGAGGATCTTAAATGTCTTTTCCAACTGAAACAGTTCTGTGATGCAGACTTAAGATCAATGTGATTAGGGCATTCAACATTTGATGTAGCTGAACATGTAAACTAAATCTGATCTAGCTCTTCTAAATGAAGAGGCTATGAGGTAGTGGTCTGGTATTAATACTGCTAGTTGAAGCATGAGAAGTTGGATGCAAAATAAATTGCATAGCAGTGTTGCAAGTCCTAGGGTGAATAACAGGAAAGGTCCAAGTCTTGTGGGCATGCCCTTAAGGGAAGCCAATGAATCTTATTCCTCCGGATACAGGGAAGTAAACACTACTGTGAGTAAGAGCTGAGCCTTCAGTTTCAAGTGCACAAGTGTTGGAGGTGGTTAAGCCTTCCATGCTTACCCACAGCCTTTCTGAAACAAAAAAAACAGAAGTGCAGTTACTTTTGCATGGCTGAAGTGATGATCTGCATGTGGTCAGGTGTCCTTGAGGAGGATGCTTCTACTATAACCCCTGGGATTGTTACCTGCCAGGAGGCCCTCAGAAGCTAAGGGGTCCTTAACTTTTTTGGAAATATGGGGAAAGGAGAGATCTACAGCCAGTAGTAAAGCCACTCTCTGCAAGCTTTTGGATGTGATCTCCTTAGTAACAGGGGAGGGAGGTGGAAGGCTTTCCTGATGGGCAGGATTATTGGATACCCTTCCAAAATGAGCATTATTCCACTAAGAGTTGAAGCAGCTGCCTTGAGCCACTTTCAAAACCCAAAACCTTATTACAGCTGTTTCTACACACTTGTAAGTCTGCTTTGAAAATATTTCAGTGCAATCTAAAGAATGAGACAAGTTGTCCCTGAGGCACCTGTCTTGAAGAGAGCAGCCAAAAGGATAGTATGTTAATTAAACCTAAATACCTCTGAACTTCATCAGCTGTATTGACTCAGTTAATCCTTAAAGTTGTGGGAAAGCTTCATAATACTTTGCAGCAAGGAGAACTAGTCAGCAGAAAGATTTCAATCATCAGAGAATGTTATGAAAAAAACCCCACCAAATAAATAAGGTCTCTGGAAAAAACCAACAATTTTTACAGCATGTTTGTTCTGGAATAATTGCACTTCTGTTCTGGCACTTGATTAGGAAAACCAATGAAAGCTGCTTCCTTGCACTTAATGCTCTTAAGAGTATTGTTGTTTGATCTCCTTTGCAGTTACACAACATGAAATCAATGGGAAAGGACAACAAATATCCAGTAGTGCATTTAGTTCTGTTTTTCTGAAGGGGAAAATATCCATTCAGCAAGGCTGAGTGGCCTTCTGTGTCATGGCAAGGTTCTTCAGGCTGAGTAACTTAATATAGTATCATAATGGCATAGCCTTGCATAGTCTGCAGTCTTCCTATTTCACTTTCTGAATTTGTCTCTTTTCACAAAGTAAAAATGATCAAGCTGGCATATTTTTACTGTCTGAATTGATATCAACTGGAATGAAAGAAAATCAATTATTTAGCCTCGAACTTGCAAGTCAGCTTAATGTCACCAAAGTATGATTTCACAGTGTGCAACACTTGCCTTGGGCAAGAGGCGGTGCTGTTGAAAGCACATCGGTCTGTTAATTACATCGGCTTTATCGTCCCGGAAAGGTTGTGTGCATGACCGTGGTGTACGAGCAGTGGGTAACGTTGCCCTCCAGTGGCTGACGCCTGGAGAATCCCGAGCCTGTTTGCACTGGCAATAACAGAAGGGAACCTTGGGAAGGTCTGGGGTGAGTGGGATCTAAAAGGGTGAGTTAGTTTAAAAGGGTGTTCTGTTAAACAGGACAAGTTTTCACACTGTATAAATATCTACGTATTTCAATATGCTAAGGTTGTATAAGACTGAAAATTTTCCCTTCAACTTTAGTTAAGAAGGATGTAATTTCAGGGGCCTCTCCCATTCATTGCAGGAGTCCTTTGTAGCCGCTGTCTGATCAGATCAGCTTGTTGCAGTATCATCTTAGCTTCATACAGAAATCAGAAATAGATTTGGCTTTACAGTAGGTTTACTGCTTTACAGCTTCACAGGAAAGTTTGTGGCTTCTGTTAACCTTTGAATGAAGTTCTCAAATAATGCTAACACCTGTACTAGACTTTTATGAAACAAATTGTCATACACTTGTCTAGAGCTACCTGTGCTAGCTTGTAAGTTAAATAAGCTAATGGCTTATTTAACAAACGGGTAAATTCTCACTTTCATTTAGTTGAGCTGTAAATATATAAGCTATCTCCATGGCTCAGGAGGGAAGGGGAAAGCAATAAATCTGTCTCCACAACTTCATGTTTTGAGGCTTCACAGAGGGAATAGCTAGCTCCTTTCCCTTATGTTTTTGCATTCTTTTAATGTAAAAGTAAACAATGCTTATGGAACTCAATTCACTCCAGACCCAGTGGGAAATGAAAATTACCTTATGCTTCTGCCGCTTAAAGTCAAAGCTTTAAAATTGCAGGTGTAAAGCAAGACAGTATTTTTTTTTTTAATCAATTCAGTCCGAGCCTTAGCTTTAGGGACGGACTGCCCAGATGCTCGGCCGTAGCCCCGTTCGGTGCCCGGGCGGGGGAAGGCAGCTCGGTCCGCCCGTGCTGGTCTGGGAGGGCTCTGGCGGAGCTGCTGCGCGGCTCGGGGCTCGGGAGGCGCTGCGAGCGGGCGGGCAGCGCCGAGGGGCCGCGGCGGTGCGCAGGATGCTGCCTGCCTGGCTGCCTCCCTGCCTCGCACGGAGCCGGGGAGGCTGGAGGCGGCGGACACGGGGCGCGGGGGGGCCGCCCGGCGCTTCCCGGCGGGAGCGGGGGCGGTGCTCCCGGGGCGGGGCCCGCCCATCCCCGCGGGCGGGGGGCGCGGGCCCCGCGCTGTCCCCGCCGCCAGCTGGCTGTGGCCGCCCCGCCGCCCCCTCCCCGGACCCGCATTATTTACAGCCGCCGCCGCGGTAAACAGCGGGCAGGGCGCGCTCGCAGCCGCCGCCCATCGCGGCCCTTCCCCGCGGCGCGGCCCCGCAGCTGCCGGCCCGGCTCCGCTGGGCGCGGCCCCTCGCTGACCGCCTCCCGCCGCGCTCTCCTTGCAGGACCTGTCTGTTCCACCTCGGGCTACAAGAAGGCGGATGATGAGATGTCCGGAGCCACGTCCGCGGCGGATCTGGACGAGGCACCAGCCCGCACCATTTACTTGAACCAGCCCCAGCAGAGCAAGTTCCGCGACAACTGGGTCAGGTACGGAGCAGTCCCCGCTTCTCTCTTTGCAGGCGGCAGCCGCGCACCCCGCACCCGTGGGCTGGGAGGGCTCGGGTCCCTCTCCCGTTCCCCTCAGCCCTGCCCACGCCAGGTTTCAACACAACAAAACGTGTGTCCGCCGGGGCGGCTGGTTTTGTTGTCTGTGCTGGGTACCAGGGTCTGGCCAGTGCACGGGCGAATCCAGCAGCAGCAAGTGATGAGCTGCTAACCTCGGCAGTAGTGAGAGCAGGGAGCTGGTAGAGCTGCGTGGGCAAGATGCATGAAAAGGTATTCACTTCAGTAGGGCGCCGAATTTTGGAATAACGGGACCTACTCGAGTATTTCTGGATGCAAGGGTTAACTCGTGAAAATTTAGTGGGAGTTTTGAGTAGAATCCAGTCAAGTCCGTGAAGTGTCCCCTTAAAAAGTAGCATTTGGTTGAAAGAGCAGCTAGGCTGAGTATATTAATGTATAAATATAAATATTATTATATTTATTATTATATATTATTATTATCATATAAATATAATATAAAAATGCATAGAATAGGAAGGAAGGACAGAGAAAGTGCATCCTGCAGGACAACAATGACTACAGAAACTACATGCTGGCATCCCTATGCATAAAAGGCTATGGCCCACTTGTGTCTTTTAATTGAATACCAGAGGTAATTTTTTTAACTGTTTTAAAGTAGGGATGTGTGTTAATACTTCTGGTGGTATGATTAATGCCACCAGTGTCGTTGCAGTTTGGAAACACAAAAAGCATGGACTGAAACATGGAGTACAAGGATGCATAACATGAGCAAGTTGTGGTGGTGCTTGCCTGGGGTTAGCTGGATGAACAGATGGCTCCTGTCGTGACTAAGGAGGGGCATTGTTTAGCAGGCTTCTGTTTGTTAATGCAGATGTTTGGGTTATTGTTCAAAGAACAGTTTACACAATGATTACCTTTATGAAAAGAGAGGAATTTTATATCCTGATGAAGTGATGATTTACATTTTCTGTTTTATTGTGTGTATTATCAAGGGCAGTTCTAAGAATATCTTCTGGAAGGGTGCTGATGTTCTGGGCACCTCAGCAACTTATTTAAAGGTGGTTTTCTCCTCAACTTTAACTTGTTACATATTTGTCTAGGAAATGGTTTAGGAGCAGTTAAAATGACACATTTTCGTAGTATCTTCCTTATTCTATGTGGGTAGCAACAGTGAAGGTTTTCTTGTTTTATTTTTCCTTGCCTGATTGAGGGATGAGTTTAACAGTTTCCTGGGCATAGACTATTTGTGCTTTCCATGCTTTAAGAAGGAAAAGCATAGAGAAGAGGGTTGGGAGAATCTGTAGTTTAGGTTTTCCAGGAGGGATCCTGTTCTGATCTGGCTAAATATTATAGAAAAGTAGTGTGTTGCTCTGCTACCTAGAACTTGTTCCTGATAGTGCTATTAGTAAAGAGCAGCTGTGTCCAATTTGCTGTCTGGAAGCCATCCCCTTGTATATAGCTGTACAAGTTTTCCCATACCTTTTCACATCTTTGCCTTGTGACAGGTAAATTTTGAGTCATAAGAAATATTGGTGTATGAGGGATTGGACAAAGTGCAGGTAGTGTAATAGCAAATTACAGCAGAGATACTTTCATTACTTGATTAGGAGCCTTAGCTCCTTAGTGTCACTTGGAAATTAAGTTGACCTTATAATGATTTACTGCTGCTTAGTAAGAAAGCTTTGATCTCTTGACTTTTAAAGGGTGATAGACATTGCCTGTACTCTTCCCATCCTCTGGATTAATTTTCTTCCCTCATCGTGGTGAGACTGAAGGCAAAGGTGACCTGAGCTTGTAATGCCTGAGTAAGGAGGACTCAGTTACTTAAGTATTGGAGTTTCTCTTGAGGAGCTGAAGTTCTCTGTTGCCTTTGGACTTTCTTACTTAACTGTATTCAGCTTCAGAAATTCATTCAGCGCTGGATTTCTCTGTACTGATGGATTTGCAGATGTTTTGTCTCCTAGGAAGCATCAGTGTACCACTGAGCAAGGTGCTGGGTAAGCATGTGAACACCTGCATGTAAGGGCTTGTGGAACCTAACTGAAAATGATAAACCAACTTGTTTTAATTTGTGCAAGTTCAGACTGTCATATTTTTGGTAGTCATTAAAGATTCTCTGAATAAAAGTGGGAATTTGTGAATGTTCATAGGAAGTTTTCTAAATTAAGGATAGTGTGGAAAGCTTGCTTAAAACTAAAATACAGCAAGAAGTGGAAGTGCAGAGCATGGAGGAGGGTAGGTTAGTGGTGTGGCTTTTTGTGTAAGATGTTCTAAACATCTCGAGCTGCTTGACTTTCTGTGGGTAGAGAAGCACTGTTAAAAGTGAATTCCAATGTTTGTGGGAGCATAAAGACAGACTGATTTTGGATAAGTTAATAAAAATGGATAATTATCTTGATCCCACTTCTAAGTAGTATGTAGTGCTATTCAAAAGTTAAGTGGATGGCAAGATGGCACTAACACTTCCAGAAGTCTCGGAGTGTGAGAATGTAGAAAGAAGAAACGTTTCTTCTTTCCTCAGGCTGTCTGGCATAATTCAGACTAGGAGAGGGTTTCTCTAATGGGCGACTTTTGTGTTCTTGAAACTTTGCAGCAAACTATTTCAAAACATAGTACTGTGTGTTACAGGCTAGATTTAGCTTGGCCCTTGACATGTGCATAAATATGGCTGTCACTGTTGTTTATTATACTGTAGCAGCAGTGATTCATCTGTAGAAACACTACTTCTACCTGTCTTCATTGTTTGAAAAACTTTGTTTGTTTTACATTTTAGGCTATTTTAATAAAAAGGTAAACTATGTTCCATTTTCAGCTGAAACATTTTAAAAGCTGAAGCATTTTAGAAGCTTTGAAAAAAATGTAAAAATGCTATTGCTTTTTACATTTTACGTTACAAACACAGCTGTACTGCAGCATAAAATCTTTGTTTTTGTGAAAACCAACTAGTACCTGTTTTGACATATCCAGCATACAAAACTTAAACAGTCGTCTGTTTAACCAGAGCATTTCTGTACTTTTAAGGCCAGTGAGAAACAAAACATGTATGTTGAGGAAATTTCCAGTCTCTCTACAGAGCTTTGTGCCACTTTCTGTGACATTTGTGCTCTGGAGCAATATGCTGTGTACTGAAGCCCTGCTTCCTGGGAAGAGGCTGGACATGTCTGTCAGTGGGAAGTAGGGAGTAAGTTTTTTGTTCTCCTTTGCTTCTCTGCATGACCTTTGCTTTATTAAACTGCCTTTATCTTAACCCATTATTTTTTCCCATGATATTTTCTGTCTCTTGTCCTGCTGAGAAGAGAAATGATAGAACAGATCAGGGAGTACGAAGTGTCCAGCCAAGGTCAGCCCACAACAAGATGGGGAATAAGCTTCCCTATTGCCTTGTAAGACTAAAGGAGTACAGGTGGAGTATGGTGCTAGGGGCTTGAATGCTGTTAATACTTCTGAGATGCCCAAAATAATGGCATGAACAATTTCCCAAATGTATCCTCAGTGAAGACTGGATATTGTACTTGAAGTTAGAATGTTCTACATGTTTTGTTTTCTTGGAAATACAGTTCCTGGATGTCTCATAGTAATACAAGAATCTACTCTGATATCAGTGGCTTGTTCTGAATGTATAATAGTACTGTAATAGGATTTTTTTCTAGTGCATTTAGTAAAAATCACCAGTAAAGTGATTTGAGCCCCTCACTTGTTGCATGTGTTAATGTTGATGCAAAAGAGTTGGACTTATGGTTTATTAGTCCTGGAGGAACAAGTGTGCTGAGATAACTTCAAGGACATTAGAAATGGTCTCCAAATTTTTGCAGATGGTAGAGTTGCTTTGTAAATGTTGCTCTAGTTAATATTCTTCTATTCCAGGCCTGGTAGTGCATCCTGGTGCAAATCTGACTTGCATCTGAATTAGGACCCCAAGTGCAGTCTCAGTTTGTGGCTTGATTGGCAGGTTGGACAGTGCAACAATCAGGAAGAACAAAATTCAACTTGTAGTTTTTAAAATGGATCTTGAATCCAGAAGTCTTCTTCAGTTTTCTTATCAAAGCAGACTTTGGTGGATTGATCTCTTAAAGAGGTCCCAAAAGTTGCATTATAATATCCAGAAAATAGTTCAGAGTATTTTCCATATTTTTCCATACAGGCAAAAATTAAGTTCTGATAGATAATGAACAAAAAGTCTTCAGTATTTATTTTAAATTGTACAGGGTCTTAAAACTCAAGTAGGCAGGTAAGAATCAATTTCTGCTCTCATAAGGCAGAAGCACTTTGCATGGGGAATTTAGCCCTGAAGACTCTAACAAGGTTTCTAGTGGAATTATAAGTCCTTTATTAAACAGACTACTGTTTATCTGTGGTCCCAGACTGTCTTATCAGTGTTTGCATGATGCTTGCTGGTGACAAAACTGTAAGCACAATCTTTAATCTTCCTTTTAGTTCGTGTGTGTCGCATTAAATTAAGCCAAGTGCATTGCTTTATTGGCTTGTGTGTAGAATTACTGTAGAAGTCAGTTCTGATTTAGAGGTGTTCATGCTTTTTGAATGTGTGGGCAGATTCTCACTGGTGAAACAAGAGTTGCTGGTATCACTAACCAATTAGTATTGACCCTTGAAACCTGAGTAGTGTTCTCTGTGATCTGTGGAAATGTGGATTGTAGTCTGATGTGTGCAGGTGGATTTCTCTGCGCTTAGTGGAACAGCCCGGCATTCATCTTGCACCAAAATGTTTTACCATGTTCTTAGGTAAAAATGCTTCATTTTCTGTTCAGTTTATTCTTAGTAGAGTTCAGGCACTGGCCATTTGTTTTATTGTGTTTGTGTTATGTTTGAAATACTCTTCTGTTGTCATGTGAACAGATTGCTTGCCTGACTGCAGAACAGCATTTCGAAATTCTTCAAAGAAGGGATGTATTATTATAATCTGAATGGTACAAGTCTAATCATGTGTTAAACTTTCTCTAACTCTT